GAGGAGAGGGGGGGCAGAGCGGGACCTGGCCCCTGTCGCCGCCCCGGAGTGAGGCGCACCTCGGCGGCACCTTCACCTCGGCGACGTGGAACTCAGAAGGTTTCTAATCTAACCTGCTCACAGTGTGAGCAGCTTGAAGGTCAGACCAGATTGTATAGGTCTTTTCTGATTGGACCTTGAGAACCTCCAAAGACAAAGTTTATACCAGTTCTCCCATTCTCCTGGCGTGCACCTCAGTAAATGTGGCCTGGCCTTGTCTGGTCAGTAACCTTCTCATAGATATTTGAAAGCTGCTGTCAGGTCCCTCTTGAGCCTCCTCCAGACTAAACAAGCCCAGTTACCCCAATCCTCTTCATAGAGCGAGTGCTCCAGCCCCTGTATTTTTGTGTGCCACTGCTTGTTTATAAACATTCCTGTTATTTTGTTTTCTGTTATTCCCAAAGCTGAATTTAATATTGCAGATATGGACTATTTGGAGTGGTGAAGAATGATAATTGCTTCCCTTGATCTCCTGACTGTGCTTCTGTTGATACAGTCCAGGCTGCTGTCAGCTTTCATTGCTACCAGTTTTTTCACCCCAGTCCTTTGCCAGGCTGGGGAGCAGCTCTGCTGAAGTCATGGCCTCTACACTTGCAAGAGGTTATTCCACCCCAGGTGTGGGACTTTGCATCTCTCCTTTATGAATTTCATCAGGTTCCTTGTTGGCCTGTCCCTCTGTCAGAGGGACACACTTGAGCATTATCAACTGCTGCCTTCCATTCAGTTTTATTTGCAAACTTAAGGTTGCACTCATCCCCTCTTACAGGCCACTGATAAAGATATTAAACAGGGCAAGTCCCCGAACAGACTTGAGGATCTCTACTTTTGTCTGGCCTTTTAGTGGAGTGCAAACCATTAACCACAACTCTTTCAGCCCGATGATGCAGTCAGGTCTTTGCCTAACTGATAGCTCTGCCATCCGTGCCATAACATCCCAACTTGAATAGGAGGAGGATGCTACAGGAGACTGTGTTGAAAGCCTTGTGAAAGTTAAAGTTAACAACACGCACTGCTGCCCCTTTGTTCATGGATCTAGCTTTTTTATCATAGGAGTGGTTGTTTGATTTGTTGTTGCTTGCCACCCTTTGGTGTATTTTAGAATAATTTAAAAGTTAGGTGAGAGCTTGGCAAATAATTAGGTGTTATTAGTTGGGGTGGCTAGTTTGAGTGATGGTTGACTAGCTTGCTTGTATAATTTTGGTCTTTATGACTGTCTAATGTAACGATAGAATTATGTAGTGTATATTACATTATGAACATATATGTTAGGAGATGTTATTTGAACTGATAAGACCCTTACAGCTTTTTTTCCCACTACTGGAAAGGGGACAGCTGGGCTTTGTAGTCAGGCACATTAACAGTACAACGTGGTGGGATGAGCATCTTTCTGAAGAGAATGTCCAGTTCCTCAGGAAGATGACTGCAGAGGAATACAAAGCTCAGACAGCCAGCAAGCTATGTCCCCTGAAAGATGAACCATGGCCACTGAATGAATGGAAACCAGGTGAGATAGTATCTCTTCTGAAGCACCAAACTCATGCTGGAATTGTTGTGTTGTTGCATTTAGTAACATTGGGATTGTGTCTTGTAAAGTATTTTCTTTTTTGCTTTTACCACAATCATCCATAACATCTCCTAGTAAATAAGTAAATGTGATGCCTTAGTTCTCTAAAAAGCATTTAAAGTATTACGAGGTGTTAAGAATGTTGTAAGAACTTAGGTTTTAGTCCAAGTCAGCACTTCGCCAGTCACATTGCTGCACAATGACAGGATAATACAGTATGAATTAATCAAAAAAACTCCCTAGGATATAAAGTATATGAACTTGAAAATGTTCTTGTAAATATTGCTGGACTCTGAAGAAGAACTGTAGTATATAATACATCCCACTTCTATTCAGTGATTCATAGACTATCTCAAGTTGGAAGGGACCTATAAAGATCATCGAGTCCAGTTCTCTGCTCTTCACAGGACTGCCTAAAACTAAACCATATGACTAAGAGTATCATCCAGATGTGCCTTAAACTCTAACAGGCTTGGTGCTGTGACTGCTTCCCTGGGAAGTCAGTTTCAGTGGTTGATCACCCTCTCAGTGAAGAACCTTTTCGCTGATGTCCAAAGTCTTACAGCCTAGAACACAACATAAAGGTTTTGAGTCTTCAAAAGGGTCACACTTGACAGCAAAAGACAGAGTTTGCAAATCCATTACAAGATCTTTGGGTATGACAGTGTAAACTGGAACAAAGATTGTTTTTTGAACTTTAAAGTATTTATTCTTCATCTTGAGTGTTCTGTTTTTCACGTTATGGACTGGCAGAAGCTAGACACGGTAGATTGCCTGTGCTGTAGAGTTACAGTGAAAAAAATATGCAGAGGTCAAGGTGTAAGGAACCTACTCTAGTAAACTTTTCAATAGTTAATTTGGCTCTAGTGAAACTAACTACATGAGTGTTGTATTTTCTTAAAAGATAAAAATTCTGAAGCATTCGTTGTTCTGAACTTAATGGAGAGCTGTTTTGCATGTTCTGTCAAACACAACTGGAACAAACAGAATTTTACTGCTAATGGAATTAAAAACAATGAATGGGTTATTCCCAGCCTACTGCAGGGAGTCAGTGATGTTTTCTGTTCTTCCTCGACTCCTTAGGAGAGGTCTGAGTTAATGGGACTTTGCAAGTTATAAGATGGGCTCTTTCAAATACTAAATGTGGAGTTGCATCCATGTTCTGTTTTGATCTACAGATTCTATCAGAGTTGGTGTTGTTGCAGTAAAACTGGGAATGATGCCAATATGGACCAAGTCAGGAGAAAGACATGCTGTCACACTACTTAAGGTGAAAGAAATCATTATTAATTTCATCTCCTATACTGTATTCAGATTGTCAACCAGACGTTCCAGGCAAAAGTGAAACTTATCATTTGTAGAGAGTAGGAAATCCCTAAAGAAAGGAAAGATCTTTCAGCCCTGCATAGTACACTGCCTGTTCTCAGTTTATATCCTAAATTTTCTAGGAGCAGTCTGCCTTATGCCTCCATTATTCAAGTGCTGCAGAACTGTGAGTAGTATTACCTAGGTGAGCAGATGTGAGAGGCCAGTGCTAACTGCCTCTGTTTCACTATATATATATTTATTATTTTTTTTTTTGCCACCTGCAGACTCTTTGGGATTAGTTTCACCCTGGTAACCCTGCAGCTGCTTCTTCATACTCTCAGGCAGATACTACTGTGATGAAGCTGTTTCGCTAACCTGCTGCTGCCATACAATCAGCCAGGGCTGTGAAGGACATTGGGTTTACAGGGCAAAGGAGCAGGAGTCTAAACTGTGGGCTCTTACTGTGTGCTTTGCCGCTGCATGCAGTAGGGATTTTGCACATCTTGCAGGAAAAAGATGGCTATTAAAGTTTATTCAATTTCTAGAGTATTTGTGAAAATAGAGTTTGTGTTCTGCTAGTTTTTATTTTTCTAAGATAAGCTTTTAATTTGCTGGAAAAAGAACACTTATAGTAAGAAGTGAACACACTCCCCTACTTGTAGGCTGTGTCTCCTATTACATAGATACAAATTAAAACAGAGACTGACTTTGTTTGAGTTGTTTTGATAATCTGTTACTGCCTTATACTAATAGAAACTATTTTTCTTTTCTTAAGGTGCAAGATTGCCATGTTTTAAAATACATTTCAAAGGAAGAGTCAGGTGGAAAAACATCTAAGCTACTTGTTGGAGGCAAAAACGTATCTCCTTTTTCTGTAAGTGAATAATTTCGCCATTTTTTTGTTAGAATAGTTGTTTCTGTTGTGGTTACAGTAAAAAGGTAGCACAGGCAGACTTCTTGCAAAGATTAATTGGCTTTGGAACTGCATCCACCCTTGCTTGTTTTCTAACAATCTTGTGTCAATTAATTCTTGGTTAAGAGAATAGCAAGAGGAACTTTTTGAAAGTTTTGCTTCTTGATTCTTTAGGAAAGCTGTGGGTTTAGGAAGTTGCTTTCCTGTGCAGTGTCCCATGCTGATGAAAGGGTTTGAAGGGCCAGTAGCAATGTAGAAACACGTGTTTGCTGTGTCTGTGGAGATGCAATAGGAGATCAGGACTGCAAGATGCCCATGCTAATGGCCTGTTGTAAACTTATCCTGCTTCATCAGTTGTGTAGAAGACCTGGTTCTCTAGCTTACTTTTCCATACTGTTTTCTTAGCTTTAGTTGTAATTTTTCCACGAGTCTGCTGAGATTGTTTAATTTGCATATAGTTTTACTGATGAATAAGTTTAAGACTTAAATCTTCAGGAAGATATCTTCATGATTATAGCCCATCAACAGTGATGTCAAACCCACTCACTTGTTTAGACACCCTAAATGTCTGATGTGCAGTTCCCAGCTACCCTCAGTGGCTAAGGTTGTCTAGCAGAGCTGTCACTCCTGAAGAGGAAAATTGAATTATAGATCAAGGCAGGAATAAAGCTTTCCCTCAGAGGGTTGCAGTTCTATGATCCATTATTTCTATGAAATACTTTTTACTTCTTGCAATATCCTGATACTCATTTGTTTGATTTAGGCTAGTTAAAAAAAAAAAAAAAGTAGGACTCGTGATTGCTAAGCAGATTATCTCAGTTGTTCATTGTGGCTTCCTGAGGACTTACGTTTCCCTTTATGAAACAGAAGGTTGTCCCAGAGCCTCAAAATTAATCTGTGTCCTTGGTTTTGCTTTTTTGTGAGGGAAGAAGGAGCGTTTATATTTTAAGGTATCTTTTATTCAGTGGGTTTAGGCCATGTTTCACCATCACTACTTCAACTTTTCAGGTATCTGTTCTGTCTCTTTAGTCTGTTTCCACTTTCCAGGTGTGCCATTTTTCCTGGAGGCATTACCACTGTGTTTTTTCTTTCCTGTTATCTTGGTTTAAGACATGCAAGTATCACATGAATAATAATTTTCAAGTTGTATTATGTACATTAGACTCCTTACAGTTGATCTTTTCATAAAGATGATGTTAGCAGTGATTCAGTATGTTGTCAGAATTAAAATGTGTAGGAAGCAAGGAGGATTATAGAAAATTTCTATTTAAACAGCTCTTGTGAACTAAGAAAATTTCTTCAAAGCAAAACTATCTAAAAAGTCATCTCAAGGGTTTTTTAGTAGTTTGACTTATGTTAATGATTCTCTTGGACATAAGTTTTTCCACATTAGCTCCCATTAATTTGGTTAAACCTAGACTAATTTTTAACAGAAAAGCCTGATTAAATATCCTTAGACAAATCTGTGATGAGGACCTGGCCTGAGACTGAGCTCTTTGCTGTTGTTGTCGTCATTGTTGTTATCATCACTGTATAAACTAATTCCTAAGAATTTGGCACACAGATTCTCAACAGTTTTACTTGTTAAGGTACTGACAAATTATGTCTTTCTGTGGTTTAGCTGCAGGTTTGAATCATCGCTCTCCTATGTTTATCAGTATTTTTATGTTTCTTTTGTCTCTGAAGTGTCTGAATATGAGAATCAGAAGAAAGCTGAATGATACTGTATTGTATTAGCATATGCACTTTACTGCTGTTAATTCTTCAGATTCCTCACAGCTACTGATTTTTAATTAATTCAGTCTAACAATTCCCTCAGTAATTTTACCAACAAAGAGTTTCGTGTATTTCTTTTGAGTGTCAAATGGCTTAAAAATGATAAGGAGTATTGCATTTTTAGCAAGATAATTTTTTTCCTTTTTAGCTTGGTGTATGTCAGTCTCTTGCAAATGAACAGATTTTTCATTATTTTTTAATGCAAAGTTACTCTCAAAAGTACAGTTCTGTCAGTGTGCTAACAGCTTTTTGTCAAGACTATTTTTATATGCTGCCCTTAAGTGAGGGCATATCATCATTTTCCTACAATACTGAAAGATATTGACAGTCTTTTTGAAAATAAGAACATCTGAGAATTCACTCAATGTTCTCTGCAGTATTGCTTTTCAGGAAGGCTTTATAAAGACTGCAGTGTTTTATTTGTAGAAATCCATCTCTGTGACTTGGCTGCTTGAGGAAAACTTGAAGTAGAAGTGTGCAAAGTTATAGTAGGACTATTGAGATGGAAACGATTTTTACCCTTTGATTCACTGTGCTTTTCTTCACCTGTGGCAGCTCTTTCCAGGCACCTGTGCTGAGCAGAAAGCTCCCCTTGCTGTGTTTTACGTAAGAGTGGAAATAAAGAATTGATGTGCAAGCGATTAGTAGAAAGAGGATTTCTTTATTTTTAATTCTTACATATGGCACTACAGTTTAATACAGTTGTCCTCTATTGATGCCTCAAATTTTTGTGGTCTAAGAGATTTTGTATTTAGTTTATGATTATTTTAAAAAAAAGAAAAAAGTATTTGAAGTGTTTTGTACTATGAACTCAATTTAACAAATCACACAAAAAAAGCCCAAACCTTTTAACTTTCTCCTCATTTTCTCCTCAAATAATCACGGATACATAAAGTTAAAATTTCTGTTTTGTGTCTAGGTCAGAGATGCTCATCATTTTGCTCCTTCATTCTTCATAAAGCTTCCTCCGTTTTCCTAACACTTTTTGACAGAGCAAATTTTTTAAAAGCAAAAGGGAGGGCAACATGCAGATTTAAAAAATAAACTTAAGTAACAATTTAAAAGTTATTCACATTTTGTCTTAAAATATGCAAAATTAATTTTGAGAGAGAAAGAGAACTGCACAGAACTTTTTAGAAGTGAACTTCAGAGATGTGACTATCCAGGTGTGTTGGTATTGTCAGAAGCTTAAATTGCTTTCTAGGAGAATTCATTTGAAGAAACATCAGCCACACTGCTTTTTTCTATGGCCACAGTTCTCCTGCATCATTGTTTCCATTGCTTGTTATCATCTCAGTGGTCAGCTATTCTGTGAGCTGTCTTATTTAAAACAGCTGAGAACAGTTTTAACTATTTTTAACTTTGTCAGACTCCTCCTCCAAAAAAAGGAGCCTTTCTTTAGTAAGTCAGCAGTGGTTTGACACTGAGTGTACGTGGTATATCTTAAACATATGTGAATCATAAACTTCTTGCTCTTCATTCTTCCTTTTTTTTGTCCAGCAACTCTAGAGTCTCTCCTGTGGAAAGTTAAGCAGTCCTAGAAGTTTCTGCAAGACCAGGCTTTTTTTTTCTATGGTTTTGTTAGTTAAATCAAATAAATTATATTTGTGATGATGTTGATTTAAGTCATTAGAAGCTTTGAAAAAGAAAAAATGCTTTTTTTGAGTTACTGCAAAAGTATTTGAAAGTGATGAAAAAGCAGTAATATATTTTATGTACATTCTAAATTATTGGAAATCTTCATGTATCTCCTGTTAATACAATGTAGCTGTAGGGTAGCTAGTTGACAGAAAATAAAATGCAGACACAGGAGTTTTAAATTAATTTTATACAAAGTTAAAATGCTAGTCTCAAGACAAATGTGTAGTATGATAGATCTGTTTTTCTCAGTGGTGTTGCCAGTCTAATCACTTTCTGTGTGAGGTTCATCTTTGGGTATTTTAAGATCACTTCTTTATGGCTGCTCTTTGTTACAGAGATCAGAGTCTGCGATGGAAATTTTCAGAGAAGCTGGAGTACCACGGAAGCAGAAAATTACAACATTTAATGTAACTGATGATGCCATAATTAAACCAGGTAAGAAGACAAATCTTTAATTAAAATTAAAACTTTGATGCTACAAGCACTTAGGCAAATGAGTAATTGCATTCAAGTGAGTGATGTCACTGACTGACAGTAGCACCAATTCTACTAAAGGCTAGTGTACAGGTAACTCCACAGTGGATGAAGCTGTACTTCTTTCACAGTCTTTATTTTGGAAACACTGTGCCTTAACAAAGAGGACGCATTGCAAGCCATCCTATTCTTAATCCCATTTTTTAAAGGAAGTGTTTTGGGTTTGTTGTTTTGTTTTGTTTAAAAAAAACAAAAACAACCAAAACAAACCGAAAACCTCCACCTTGTGAAGTGTTAGTTGTTAGAAGTGGAGCGCGTTCTGTTTTCTTGCCAGGTTTGTTTATTGTGAGTCTTCACTAATTAAGCATTTTGGGCTTTGTCTCTTTCAGTGTCTGAAGTGCAACATATCTGAGCAAAGCCCTGACCCTTTCTTCGTACTCATCTGAAACTGAGCTAGGAACTGAGAAATGTGCTTTTAAGTATTAACTACAAAGCATCTATTTTAGTCATTGACGTTTATAAAGAAGAGCAAGTCATGTGTGACTAAAAATGAAGTTTTGTTTCCTTTCCTATGACTAATCTACCTTGGATGGAAATAACTGGAGAGTGGTTTGAGGATTTCAGCACTTAGTTGAACATGATCTCTCCTTTTCTTTTGAAGGTACTCCTTTGTATGCTGCTCACTTCCGCCCAGGGCAGTTCGTGGATGTTACTGCAAAAACGTAGGTTCCTTATGATTTAACACGTACAGTTCATCTTTCAAATGGACTGGCTGAATTTTCTTTTCGTCTCTGCTTTGGTTAGAACTCATGGCTCACGAAAGCTAAAATACAATTGCAAGGGTAGTGGCAGAAAATAGAAGTCCATTGGGTAAAAAAATCAATTTTTTTTTCTTTGCTGAGGCTTATTTTTTATTTTTAACACAGTAGGTAAACAAATAATTAGGGCTATGGTTCTGCATGTGTTGTCTGTCACACATACATGATGAGCATGGAAGAGCTTGACAGCTTAAGAAAGAGGTGCTCAAACTTAGGATGGGCAACGAGGTCTATAATGCAGCCTCTGTGTTATGTAGAAGTGCAGAATAAATGCTGAAAAGCATCAATTCCCATAAGGACTGCTTAATTTTGATTTGGTGAAGAGATGCGAAGAGAGAGATTTATCATGTCGACCAAAAGAAAAGCAAATAGGTGGTAAATACATTTAGCAAGACAGCTGTCAAATTCCTTTTTTGTTTTCTCTCATATTCCATGTCATCTCTTTGCCAGGAGTAGCTAATGATCTTTTACTTTAACATGGGAGGAATGATTTCCTCTCAGACCACTGTGAATGCTGTATTAGAGCTCAAGTGGCAGGGGTTGTCAAAAGAAAAACTGGCATCTTGCCACAAATCATGCCTCTTCTGTTCCATCCATGATTTCCATTGCCCAAGAGAACCGTGAACCCCTGTCTCCATATTTGTGAAGTGTATTTTTGTTGTTTTGTGTAAAAAGATAATGTTTTCCATTTGATGTTGTGTAATGGAGATATTACCCAACTGGCCTTGTTGAAATACCATCCATTGTAATTCTCACATATGTGTAATACTTACAAATATCTAATATTATTCACAGGGCTTTGTATATACAGGAAATAGACTATCAGTACAGCCAAGTAGTTGATCCTAACGCAGCAACACCTGACTGCACCTATGAGGGCGCCCTATTCAGAACAGGAGATCAAGAAGTTGACCAGTGTCTTTCTATGTCAAACTTTCCTTATGTAATACTTAGCTCTGGTATCATTCTGCTTCTAAATTACGTTCAGTGAACAGCCTGTAAGAGACAATAACTTGTTTACAAAGCAAAGCACTGTATCATTAGGAATACAGTCATTCCATGTGAATTCTGTTACACATTGTTAATGCAGAAAAGCTTTGTTTTACTAGAACTATTACAACAACAGGAAAGGTTTTTAGCAGTGTAAGAGGTACTGGTAAGAGCCGCAGAGTGATTTCTATGTATTCGAAAATACTTGCAAGCTAAAAATAGACTGGGTTCCTGGCCATGTTCAGTGAATCCATCCTATCTTTTAATTCAGTATTTCCAATCTGTTTTCTCCAGATACTTGTATGATCCCATTTCAGAAATTAGTTTTTTGTTTGTACTGCTGACTTTGGTAGTGTATTCTATGTAATCCTACTATATACCTAATATAAAAGGAGAAGAAAAAATTCTTAAGCTAAAGAGAAAGATCAGAATTTTTTTATCCTGCTGTTTCTATCAATATGATTTATTTAATCATTCCAGTCTTTATCTGTGTTCTTTAACCTTTTCCTGTGACTTGCTCACTTAATGTTGCTTTCTTCTTAATTTCTCCTTTTCTGGAATGCTGCATTTATCATATTACATTAAGTCTTGGGCAAATTAAATTATTTGACTACATTTCTGGGTTTTTTGGGTCTTTTACTTTATTCCATGCAATTTCATCCAGCGTTGCTTAGTTTCATACTAAGTTCTCATACTTGGGTAGGGATGATTTTTCAGAGTGCTGTATCCATCATTCTTATTTACTGTACCTGTAAGTACAGATTTCACAGTGTCACAAAAATATCCAAGAAATGCTTCAGTGAAGGGCAAAAAATGTTATCTTGGGACTGATTATAGCATTGAGCTATAGCATTTGGGCTGCGCTGTGGGGCGGAAAGGAGAATGTATTTCATGTTGTACTTGTGTTCTGAGCCTCCCTCAAGAGGAGCCAGCTTCTCCCTACTGAACAAAGGGGGAACATGGGGCTGAAATGAGCCTTCGTACATCACTCTGAATAATTCTAATTATTCCTTTTAAAAAAGAAAGAAAGAAAATTAATGCCATGACAATGAGGAGAGAACATAGTGGAGTATAAAGGATGTTTAAATTTTTTACCAACTTTTAATGATCCAGATAAAGATATCCTTTTGTACACTTCCTTCTACCAACACAAAAATCAGAAGTATACCCCTTAAAAATGAGCAAGCTTTTCTTAGTTATTGAAGGTTGAACAAACTGCTTGCACTATGGTTCAGAAAAGCGTCTTTGGTTAGCGTCTCGATTTGGTTACCCAAGTGTAGGGTGATTTTTTGACTGTCTGCATTTAAACTTTCCTTGCAAATGTTTTTGTCAAAGTCTTTTGAAGTGTTTTGATTCATTTATATCTGTGAAGAAAAACACTTTCACAGAAACGAGAAGGTTCAGTTATACAGTTTGTTTTTATTTGAAGTCTCATAATTTGCTCAGCACAGTATGAGTAGCTTTTACAGCACTGACAGTAGGCAGTAGTGCTCATTTTTTTCTTTAGTACTTATTTTCAGCAATTCAGCTGTTCAGCTAAATTGAAGCAAGTTCAGTCAAGTTTTAATGCTGTCTTTAATGACAAGTCTTTACCTTGGTGTTTCAGAGGTTTCAAGAATGTGTAAAGGCTTAGTGCCCTTTTTGGGACAGCAGTAAACTTCAGAAATCCTTTGGCCTGATGGTCTAGTTTAGCCCTAATGTGCTTTGGACTAAAATGCATAGGACCATCTAGAAACGCTTCTCTTGCAGGCTGGACTTCTGTGACTTCTTTAAGCTGGCGTAGTGGAGGCTGCTGCCCAAAAGGGAGGTGATCCTCACTCCCACAGAGTTCCCATCAACCTTCTGTCACTGGCACTGATGTCCTGAGTTGCATGAAGGAAAATATTAGTGTGAGATACCTGTATTCTTCACTGGGATAGCTTTCAGCTGCATCAGTTGCATGCCCCAGCTTTGCTGATCAGCTGAAGGAGCTTCTCCACTAGTACAAAGATGACCAAAACATGGAGATGGGGAGAGGTGGGACCATGCCTTAACAGTGGTAGCCCAACACTGTATGGAATTGGAGTTGTATTATACCTCCTTTTTCTACAGCTTCGCGAACTGTTTCAGGAAAGCATTGGAATATCAGAAATTTTGCCACTCCAAAGAAAAAGCCAACAATAGTTTTGTTTGAAATGTTTCAGAATTCAGTGGTGATTCTGGTGTGTTTAGTGGTTTATTTAAGCATTGCTAGATTAACAGTGTAATTGAGCCTGAAAGTATTCTCTACAGTTGGCTGAAATTATTTGACTAGGTAGTTGGAATCCATTTCCTCTACAGCATCTAAATAATTGTCTAATAAATTAGCCAAGTTTGAAGAGTTAGCAGCAAACTAAACTGATGCTTAATTAGAGTGCTTTATTCCAGTAGCTTTCTAAATGAAAGTTGGCTCATTAGGTACTGGCATTTTACTTGTATTAAACCTGGAAAATGAGGTTTTGTACAAAATTGGGTTGTTGACCTGAACAGCTGCTTTCCTGCAGGTTAGACTAGAACAACTGTGTGTAATTAAATTATTTTTCTAATTCTACAGAAATATTATTTTCCTTTCATTTAATATTTATGTGTCTTAGTTTTGCATAGAAACATTGCTGCCTGTGATTCCTTTCTAGGACTCAGGTAATCATGCTTCAGTGAAGCTGAGTAAAGTGACTAAATTTCATGTATTGAAAAACAGTGGCATTGCACATGCAGAACATCATCAGAAAAGTAACTCCAAGAGATGTTCATGTTTGGTTGGTATCTGTGATGCATATATTGGCAAATGTGAGATTACATAGAGTAGTGTACACAGTTTAAAAAATAGTATATAAATATATAGCATACGTAAAATAGTATGTATTGTATACGTGTTAACTGTGTGTTTTAATCTTTTGATTTGGCTAGCTCACATTAATGTTATGAAATATTTGTTGGAAATGAACTCTTGAGACTTTTTAAGTCATAAAAGATCCAGTATTCTCTTGGGAGGTTTCTTCCGTTTCATTCACTCTTGCAAAATACTGTTTTAAGTTTACATCCAGTACTTATTTGTCTTGTATTTTATTGGCGATACTTGCTGAATGCATCCGCACCTAGTAATTTTTAAAAAGGGTGAAGAGGGCAATTAAACAATTTGAAATTAATAAGCAATACTAATAGGTGACAACTGGCATCTGTTCAGAAGTGAACAAGAATATATTCTTAGAAATATTTTTGTTAATTTTTTGACAGAATTAAAAAAGTTTTAAGAATACTAAACTGCCTTCTCTGATTTTCTGCAGTATTTCTTGAACAGCATGCATCTTAAGTTCTCTTCCATGTTTATATAAGATTAATATTAGTTTCAAAAGCACTTTGCGTGTCGTACAATTGGAAAAATGTAAAATCTATGCATTAGAAATACAGATAAATTTCATATCATGGAAAATTTATTAATAACATTTATTTTTTGCATATAGTAGAGTTATCCACCCCTTGTGTAAGAACAGGTCACAGTCATATCAAGGTGGACTTAGGTTGGAAAAACACTTTTCTTCTAGAATGATTGAGGTATATTGACTGAGCTACTTAGTGCCTAGCTGAACAGTCTTCCTTTCTAAATTTTGTTTAAAGAGATGTTAGTAGATCCTTACTTTATTTTGAGCTTTGTTTTATTTACATAATCATGTAGTTTTTATTCCGGTTCCAGTTTTATTTGAGATAGAAAACAAATCTAGGAAGAAACATACACTGTGTAATTGTTTTTCATCATGACATGTTTAAAGAACATTATACATTGTTTATTCGGTTAAAAAAAATTCGAAAACTCAAAAATGAAATAAAACTATAAATGCTTTTTATTTAATTAATAAACTTATTATTTTTAATAGCGATTGTGACTGAATCATGTTGAATAGAAAATTAATGTTCAAAAAAGTCATAGGAAAAAATGTAGGTATTTCAGAGACCTTCAATCAGATTTTTACAAATAAAAGATGAAACTATTCTAAAAGATTATTGAACTATGGTGAAAGAACCTTGATAGATAGTAAAGCATTATACGTTATGAAATACCCTAATTTCAGCACTGAGAGATCTTTCCTTGACTTTAGCCAGAATATTTCAGACGTTGGAGATTTATTTTCATATTCCAGATCAACAGATACATGAGAATTTTCAGGTTTACCAGAGTGCTCTTTATTAGCCTGGCCACACCTTCTATATATTTCCTAAGGCTTTATTATTGTAAATCTGAGACTTTGTTCACAGAAACTGTGTGTGTAATTGGAAAGACCAAGAAGTAGATGAGTGTAATCTATTGCATAAACCATTAAACACTAGCAACTCTATCTTGTGGTAGAATCCCTTCTTTTTGAAGATATAACATTTGCTGAAGTAAACATTCTTTTTCAAAATGCATCTCTTACAAGTATTAACTATTTCTTACATCTTTATATTTTATTAAACAGTAAAATTTACAGTATTCTAAAGTGTTCATGTATAAAAATGAACAATCTGAATAAAATACTGAAGTGATTTCCCGACATTTATGCTTCTTGATTGAAGCTGACTGTACTGTTTTCTTTTGAAATGGTAGCTTTCGATAGTTGTATGGTTTTCTCTGAACTGCAAGTACATTTCTGCAGCTAAAGAATTAATCATGCCCTCAATCTGCTCCCTCTGGTAACTACACAGCTGTTGTTATGCCACCGACTTGCAGTAGGTTTTGGAGAGTTTGCTAATTCCATTTTCCAGCTAGAAATGCCAGAAGTAGTCTACTTGGAAAACATGGCAAATAGGAGACACTTTCAAAGAAAAAAAAATAGCATTTTGGCAGAGCAGATACGAGTTTTCCTATAGCTTAGTTTCTCCTATATATTTTGAAGTTATTCATGCCTTAGCAATCTGCAGGCATAGAAAAATAAAAATTTTGAGCCTCTCTTAAAGTGCGAGTATTTTTCAAACCTTTTGAGGTTTTAAAGCTTTTAAAATAAGCTGATTAATGAGAAACTGGTGTAACAGCGCCTTGCATCCTTTAGATCTGTGTCTTGTTTTCCTGATCCCAGGGAACCCCGGACCTCCCTCCCGCAGGTGCCTTCAGTTCTTTCTCATGGCCCTGACCCTCTCCATACCCCCATGTTGCACCACTGTCTACTGGCCTGGAAAGACTCGTGCCTGTGGCAAGCACTAGGATGACTGGCCAGCTGGCAAGCCAAAGGAGCAGATCACTACTTCCATTGTGTTCTCAAATTTCCTTAATTAATTGTAGGAAAGGAGGAAAAAAAAATCAGTACTTTAACCAATAATTTTGATTTCCAACAATTTCATATCTTGCTTCTGTGCCAAGTAGAACTGGAATTGACCACTAGAGTTAGAGGAAAACCCAGAGACAGACACCATGGTCTTATTTCCTTACGGTTCTGTGGATTCAGAAAGTCTTCTCACTTGTGGCTGATTTTGACTGTAGTTTGACTTGCTCCAGGCAACTAGACCAGCAGAGAAAAATTTTTCAAGTGGAAGAGGCAAGAATCCAGTCTTTGTGAATGCTGGTGTTTTCCACATTTGTATTTGTTCTCTAGTTTTTAATGGTAGTGCTTTTCTGATTAGGGGAGTCAGAAAAATGTAGTCCTTATATACAATGTGCTGTATGCATGCTTATACACGGTTTTATTTTCATGTGTGTGGCCAGAAAGTTTTAATTCTTGAACTAATAGGATCATGACATTGCAAAGTGCATTAGTATAAAAGATTTATGTAAATTGGAGGAACAGGATCACTTGTTAAATTAATGAAATGATGAGTGCAGCCATTAACCTTGTGGACAGACTTTTCCTTTTGGAAACCAGCAATGCTGGTTTAAACACATACACTTTAATTGGCTTTTGCTTTGTGCAGTGGTGAGGGGGTTTTTCCTATTGAGTCTCTCCCTGTGGTAAACAAGAGACCTCCAAAGCCAGTAATACTATCATGTCCCTCAAAGATTAGGACATGGACACTGACAGATAGTTTATTTGTTATTCTGTTGTAGACCTTGTTTGTCAGATGAGTATTGATCAAAGCAGTTAAGTGTTTTTACTACACATAAAACTGTTTTCAAGAGATGAATCTATTGTAGTTTGGAAAAGAAACGTTCCTTGGCTTATTTTTATGCTAGTCTAAGAAGACATCTCTTCCCTCTGATGCTTAGGGCCTATCATTAAGTTTTGATGTATGTTAAGCAGTTGTTATTTTAATTTTGGGGGGGGGTTTTGTTTTGGTTTGGTTTTACTCCTCTTTTTGATTTTTTGAGATTTTTTTGTTCTAGTGTCCTCTCAGTGAAAGCTTCATTCCAGTACCATGTATTGAGGTCCACCACAGCAATGACCATTTTGTGTTTGTGTATTTGACTCTCTTGTAGTACTTCTTATTCTATAAAGCAACATTTAAGTATTGGACAGATTTTATGTAAAAAAAAAAGTATTTTTCTGTCTCCTGAGCTTTGCTAAAGATAAAAAGGTCATTAGCCTGACTGAAATTACTGTTTATTGACAGAAAGCTTAAGTCTTTCTGGTTCATTTCTTGATTTTTCTTTTCAGAATCGGTAAAGGATTTCAAGGTGTCATGAAAAGGTGGGGATTTAAAGGCCAGCCTGCTACCCATGGCCAGACGAAAACTCACAGACGTCCTGGAGCAATATCTACCAATGTGAGGATTCTTATTTCTTCTTATTTCCTGATGTAAAGATTCCTCAGTATTTTCAGAACTGCTGATGAAAGATGATCCATCTCACAATTGCTAGCTGCTGCCATCTACTCTGTGGTAGCAGAGAATCCCAGCTGTTTCAAAGGAAGTTCAGAAACCCGTAAAATGAGCAATGCAAATAGCTATTCTCTTATGGCTCGACTTATTAATATTCTATATTGCTAGTAAGTGAGCAAACATATTTTAACCAAACAAATTGTGGTATTTTGTAGTGTAGGTGAGAAAAAATAGTCTTAATGCTTCAAAAAGAGTTCCAAGAATCTTTTATCACAGCATTTATAGATTGGAAAGGATTTACTCATTATTTTGTACTGCAGATATTGCACTTTTCATTGGAATCCTAGTTGCTTATATCAACTTACCTGGCTTGTGTAGCAGCTTTATGAACTCTTTCATTTCCAGAACAGTTTGTTGCTTAGCATTTTTAAGCAGAGTAGAAAATAATATTTTTAAGTTTCAAACTAAAAACAATATTAGTTTAAAAGCTCTTTGGAACAGATGCATTTAACTTTGTCCCTTTAAAGGTTGCACAACATTTAGGCTGGACTAAGAGGGATTTTTGCAAACTAGGTTTGTTACACAGAACTAAGACCAACTGAGTCACAGTGCTGAACTGGAATTGTCTGCAATTTTCTTGAAGAAATTAAAATGGAAATTAAAAAGGATTAATAATTATTAAGAGAATAGTAAAAGCAAAAAGGCATTGGGCAACAAAGAGTAATTGAGGCTGTAAAAGCATGCAGTACTGACTTACAGTCTTGCACTTCAACTGGAAAATTAATTCTACACCTGGCACTGTTTTCTCTGAAGACCACAGAATGTAAATATTTGGACATGCAACACTTTGTTTTAGCAGATGGTATCCATCATTACAAACTAACCCCTCTTTACTTTTCATTAAATTAGAATTTTCTAAGCAGTAACACTACATGTAACTTCACAAAGTATATAGAATGGGAAATAGTATTAGAAACAGGTATGATGAAAAGGAAACAAGGTGAAAGGATGCAGCAGGGGAAAAGCAGTTGATTACCTGAAATAATGATTTTCACGTGAGTTTAAATAAATAAACATTATTAATGAATAAAAGAGTGGTGCATGAGTATTATACCTGGGTAATACTGTAAAACTGAAAATTATTGATCAGTGTAAAACTCGTGGATTAGGGGTAGGGGAGAAGCTACAATAATCTTCACTTTGGCAGCCTTCCAGGACAGGACTGCTCTGGAGCTCTGTGGTAGCATCCACAAGTAGTTTAGGTAGATATCCCAGGTGCTTTGGTCTGTGGTGTAGGTGAGTCTTGTGATGACAGAGGTTTTAGGAAGAAAGCTTTTCTTGCTTTTCACTAAGTGAAAATATGGGATGAGTGAAGATTTTGCTTTGAATTCAGACACATTGTGTATATGAGAAAAGCTAGAATCCCTTTGTTGATACAACAGTATTTATAGCGATTTTATGATTGAGGTCAAGTATTTCAGATAACATACCTAACGTTCAGCCGGAGGTATTTAAGATGCTAATCAGTATTAGATATTTTCAACATTGGAAATACCAGCATATTTTCTTTCCTGCTCTTCTTGAGTTTGTGGATGTACCTCCTGCAGTTACATGATTGGGGTTTTTTTTTGGCTCTGTTTTTATCTAGAAAGCTGCCAAAGTTTATCGCGGAAAGAAAATGCCTGGTAAAATGGGTAACATCTATAGGACATCTTATGGACTAAAGGTGAGTTCTAAGTGTACTAGAATGAGTATCAGGTGGGAGCATTGCCAAACAGTGTAGTTAGCCGTGTAGCCTTGTGGTGATGAACTGTCTGTCGTTTGTCAGAATCCAGACAGGTACATCTTGAAGTAACCAAGCTGGAAAGACAAAAGCAGCAAACATGTGCTCCTGTCTTCATGTGTGTTACAAATAAGTTATCTGGTCTCCCTTTGTATAGGTGCAGTCCCTGGGGATTGGGGTTTCAGGTGATATTTTCACACCTGATGTGTTTTTCACTGTGTCCCTTGACTTCTGCCTTTGTAGTGGGAAAACAATCAGGCTTTTGGTCACCTTCAGTTAATGCTTTCATGCCTATTCCATTTGTTCAAACCCAACCCAAGTCTGACTTGTCTGAAGTTCTAGATTTATCATGGTCCTTTGCTTTCATGTGCAAAAAGGGGATTATAGTTTCTGTCTATATTCTGCAGCAGTTCCTGGGTTATTACAGCTACTAGTCACTGTCTCTGAAGTTTGCACAAAAAGCCTGTTAGCCTCTAGTTTGCAAGAAATTGTGCTGCTGCTCTCTGCTAACTAAAGCTAATGTTTTGTAACAGAAAACATGCATGTTCACTTGAGCACCTCACAGAATTAAGAAATTAACAAATGCTCACAGTAACATTTTCATGAGCATATTTGGTTTAATTTGTCAAATGTTATTTTTTTTTCAACAGCTCTTGCTGTTAGAAGAAAAAGAGACTTGGGAGCTTTGGTTGGAGTTATGCTGAACAAAGGGCTGCCTTGCCAAATAAAGCCTCATCACAAGCCCTTTAAAACTGTTTAATAGACTTCTGCATTAGAAAGCTGGGCACTCAGAGTAGTGTGTGAGTGAATTTTGTGGCAACTTTAGGCCTGTGCAGAACTTTCTTCTTCCACAGAGTATCACCTCCAGTTAATCAGTTTGTACTTTGCTGGACTACTGTTTGTAAACTGGGAATAGTCTCTAAAACGAGCTCAATGTCTGTTTTTTTTTTTCTCTCCTAGGTGTGGAGGATCAACACAAAACATGACATTATTTATGTAAATGGGTCTGTGCCGGGTCACACAAATTGTCTGGTGAAGGTAGGTTTGCTAGTTTCAATTTATTGGTATTAGTGACTCCAAAGCTCTCTCCAGCTCTCTCCTTATAAAAGGAAAAACATTGTTTGAATGCAGTCGTCTTTTCTTTTGAGTCCCATCTTGTACTATTGAATTAAAGGGCAGTAGGATCAGTTCTGTAAAAGGGAGTGATTAATAGGGGCAGTGGGTCACCACTTACTCTAAACGTCTCATTGTTAGCTTTGCATTGGGGTTGTGCACCCAGGCAGCCTATGATAAACCAACACAGTCGCTGTAACCCTGTGATAAGTGTCTCAGGGCTAGGTCCATCCCCTTTTAACACTAACCTGAGTCAATAGCATGATGGTGAGATTTTGATAATATTATTTAAGGGCTGTGTTCATGAACAAAAACACACAGCAAGCGCTACTTTCAAGGTTAGTCAAAGCATTCCCTACCCAGTAGCAGTTACCTTTCCAAGGAGCAATTGAGGTACAGGAGGGAGACAGCTGGAGTTCGCAATAATGATATGAGTTCCCTTTGGAATCAGTATAAATGTGTCTGTTATTTTCTGTGGTGTTCTACAGAATTAATTCAGGATTAGCTATGAAAAACTGAAGCAATGACAAGTCTAATATGTGTTCTTACAAGGTAAATAATCCACATCAAAGCAAGAAAAGTACTTTTAAAGATTCTTTTCAAATTAGCCTTTTCTTTCTACTTATTGATATCCTTTACAACTGCAAGCACTAATTACTTGGAGAAAGTTGATTCCTTTCTGACTTATTAGATTACAGGTTATTGAGCATCTTTGTTATGGATTATTATAAAGATTTTTTGTACATATACCTACATATCTGATATATAGTTTTAAATCCTCATGAGTATTGTAAGGATTTAAATGATGCAGTTCTTGAAAAGTTACAGAGTTCAGAAAGTTTAGATATTTTCTATTAGTTTTTGTTCTTGTCATATTTTACTATGGGCATCCAGTTTCTGTTATGTATTTCATAGTTGTGGAGCAGAACTCTACAGTTACTGAACATTAAGTGAAGCAATCCTAGCTTCCAAATAGGTGTTTTGCACACAGGAAAATGAAGTTTATTATTGTGTTTCTCTCATGGGAAATAAGGTCTTTTTAATGAGTGGGGTATCTCAAAACTGCTTTGGTTATAGTGTCTGCGTACACATCTTGGATTTCTTATGTGCAACGATACGACATTTTCTGAAGCCATTGAGACTCTGAATACAGTACTTATTTCTACCAGCTGTAAGATAAACTGTTTTTTTAAAGCAAAGCTACCTGTATTAATACCACACATGCTTACCTACACTGTGAAGATCTCATTTAAGCAGATCAGTGTCCCCTTGCTAATCAAACACTGCACACTTCCCCTTGAAGAAGAACCTACTGGAAGTGTTGAGTGCTTTCTCTCATTAGGTCACTTCCACCTTTTCTTTTTCTTTACACTTTACTTTTGCCTAGGCTGGTACACATCCTCCTTGCCACCTTGGACTTACTGTTTATGTTCTGAAAGCAGACCTGCTGATTCCTTAAAATGATTCTTCAGGCAGCAGTACTGCTGTAGTCAACAGCCTTGTTAACAGGAGACTTCTGAGCCAAGCCATCTGAGTGTATGCAGTCAACCAACCATGTTGACATCTGTGATGTGAAGAGGGTAATGGAATTTGATTGCCGTGGCAGTCTGCTGCATGCCATTTAAGCACTTGCCATGTCCACGGGTGATTTCTCTTCTGTTCACTCACCGTGGATGATGATTGGAACTTAGGATATCCTAAGACCAAAAGTTAAAGTGGCTCCATTATGTTTGGGGTTTTTTCCCAAGTACACTTAATCTGTCATTATGAACTAAGTGGCTGAAGGCACTTTTTTGGCTACTTTACTAAGCCTTGTACATGATATCTACAAGATGTAGAATTTGTATTAATTATATTTGCAAGTTACCTATGTATGAAAACGTTTCAAGTCATAGCTGCTATTTGGAAGTCCAAGTATCTTCAAATATGCATTTGGCATACATATTTCAGAATTCCAGCTAATTCCATTATTAGAAATGAGGGTTGAGGATCCATGGGAAGAATGAGGGATTTTATCCCTTGGAGCTCTTTGATTAACAGAATACAATATTTAAAAAAATCTTGGTCAAAGGGCTTCACACTCAGAATTTCATGACTTTTTACTAATGCATAATCCTGTTTTGAGATGAAAATACAGTTGTAGGTATTATTACTATTAGGAAATAGATTTAATTATTTTTTTTCCACTCACATATTTGGTGTTTGGAAGGGAGTATGTAGTCAGCTGCAGTTCATTCCAGTTCTTCAAGCTGGTGCACTCATCTGTAGTGTTTATATCCATAAGCCATAGGAGTTACATGTATGAATTAAAAAAAATCTTCCCTTATGTTTTCAAATACATCCCTGAAGAGTAGAGAAGGATTTAATTAAAAAAGCACAGAAAGCGGTACTGTTTGGTACACATTCTCTAATTTGCAAGGTTCTTTCCTCCATTTAATCTTGGTGCACTCATCTGTAGTGTTTTTAGCCTGTGTCTCATGCCTTTCTTCTGGGGTGTTTTCTTGTTTGCATATAGACTTCAACAGCCTATATGTTGTTGTGCATTTGTTTGGATCTGTAGATGGGGAAAGAAATTATGGGATATTAGTGTTCATAATTAGTGTTCGTTCCACTAAATACCTGTCTGTGATTAAGTAGGACTGATGTCTAGGGGATGTGTCTTTGAGCTCAAAAAGTGGAATTATCAGACAATACTTTTCTCACATGTGTCTCTAAAAGGAAGCGTTGGTGTTCAGTAGCCACTCTGTGTTGCTTGGTAACCATTGAAAGCACAGTGTACATTGAAACATATATTTACTTTGTATGCTATGTATTTTTGGAAACTGTGCGTCCACATGTCGCACAGGGGATTCTTCACACAATTATGATTTAACAGTAATTCAAAATTTATTGGTGGTGGGAGGTAATTTTAGCAGCACTTAATCAATTTGAAGATTAATAAGGTGGTTCTGTAAAATAGGCTATAACTAAAGCAGTAACATAATTACAGATACGAGAATGATAAAATTCATACTAACTTGCTACAAGGTATCTTAAATCAATATATGTATGTACATATATATAAACACATATATGTACATATGGATAAACACAAAACATACAGAACACAGACAGACACAAATATTTGGATTCAGTGAAACATATAGGCACCGTCATTCATGAAGGCAAATGTGTATATTCAAGCACAAAATAGGCAGACAGATGGAAGGAAGAAGCTAGCCTGTAGTTAAAATTTCCCTCTTCTTGAGTTTAGAGCAAATATTCACAATGCATCGACATTCCTCAGTGGATGATAATTGACCCTCAAGAAGTTGGCTTCCCCCTGGGCCTCCACAGGCTTTGTTGGCAGTCAGTCTTTAAACCTCACGGAGTCTATGCCTGAGAGGCTTCCCAGCTCAGGGGAGGTGCTGGTCACAGCCTCCTGCAATCCAGGAGAGCTCAAAGGGTCTTGCTTAGGACCACTCTTTATAGAGTCCAAGATAATCGGCTTTCATCAAGTAAATTTTTCATTTCAGCCCAACTTCAATGATGAAATATTCTGATTCTCTCCACCAGGTGCGCAGGTAGAACTTGTTAGATTTTGAAGTTCTGGCATCACCCCCATTGAGCCATGACCCGGGTACAGGGGTCAGGAGGTGACCGATTATTATTACCATTCCTGAGCAATACGGGAAGCAGGGGTCAGGTACACCAAGGAAGTGCCTTGATGTTCTGCTCTGTTGCTTTTCCCACTCCATCCTAAGCTGGTACGTGGCCCTGGGAGGGGGAAATTGCACCAAATGCCGAGTGGCCCAGGAAGGAGCGGGTGGTTGCACCACCACACAGCACTGTACTGAGTCTGAGATGTGGCACTTTTCATTTTTCAAGTTTGGTTTCCAGCAGGAAAAGTGCGCAATAGCAGGATTGATGGATTCCTGGTTTAATTAGAAATCAGTTTTCATTTGATATTGCACACTGAAGCATGCAAGTAAACAGCTGACATAAGTAATGTTTCTAGCCAACTGGAAAACTAATCCAAAAGCTTACTTTAGCATATATTTCTTTCTCAATGACAAGGTCTAATAAAATTAAGAAACTTTAGCACTATGCTAGAGTGTATGGAATTTTTATGTTACATAAAAAACACTGCAGAGTAAGCATCTAGATTATTGTGTTGTACCTGTCGAGATAGCCTACCTCAGGTAATACCTGTTTCTCTTGGTATATCTTCTTAGATTACAAGGCCTAGATTTACCATTGATGGTGGTGATCCTTTAGGAAAAAAAAAACAAATAGTTTTTTCTTTTGGAAGCATATGACTCCATTTGTCTCCCAGCTATATCATAAAAAAGTTCTCAGTTCTGTTATTCAAGAGAGAAACACTACACTAATTATCTTTTTAAATAGATGCTTTATAACGGAGGATATACTGTAATATGGTACAGTATAATATAGGATGTTAGAGTTTGTATTTAACAGTGTTTTATACCTATCCTAATTCTAAGGCACCCTAATTTTTTAGAACATTCAATGTTGATCTCTTTGAATATATCACTTGTAGTGAAAGCAGATTCTGGCAAATCTGTGTAACCCATACAGAAGTCTTTAGTAGTCTGCTTCCTACTTGTTTTGCATCACACTTGCCAATATTGCTGTCTGTGTTTCTAGCTGCTGATCCCAGAGTTGAGTGTGCAGAGCTCAAATCAGGGACAGGCAAGAGTAGTGTCATGCCTTGACTTTAGTGATCCCTGTCCGGTGCCTTGGGCCCCATGATGGAGCTATGCGGAGGCTTTTTTAGATTGCTTCTTGTTGTTGTTTTGTTTTTTAAGATAAAATACAGCTGGTCAGAAGTAGATACAGTTCTTGAATTCAATTTCCTGTCTAGCTTCAAAAATAGCATAGAAGATGAGCTAGGTAATGTGTAGTAACTGAGGAGATAATTTCTAACATTCTGTATATTTAAACACACTTCCCTATTTAGCAAACAACTTCCGTTGTTTGCTGCAGTTGCTAACACAGCCTGAAGGCCTGTTAAACTGCAAATCTGAGTTGTGACTTAAGCAGCAAGTTTTGATGCCTATTTGTTTATACTACCTACTATACTGTCAATATATGGGACACGCTGTTGTGAAGTTTATTAAATGCCTGCAAAACTTTATGACTGTTCTAAAGATTTAGTGACAAAATCCTGACCAACTCAAATTTCCACTTTCTCTAGTATTTTTCTCAATAAAAAAGTCACAGAGAGAGTACACTGTGGTATATATGCACATATATATCTATCTACAGTATGGTGTACTATAATATACAGCAGTATTAATACAGTAGCTAAGTAGCAAGCCAAGTATTTATGTTACATTGAGCTATACAGTGAATGCTTTTATGGATCATTATAACCAGTTGAGTTCTCAGCCCAATTTTTTTTCTTTTTCTTTTCTTTTTTTCCCTTTTTAAAAAATATATTGAATGGAATCAGTGCTATCCATTGTGATCACATTGAATTTATATAACCAGGAAACCTGCAGAAAAGTACTTGTTTAAAGTTTAATGATGTCGTGTCCAAGATGTTGAGTTGTAGACATCATTTTTTTTTCCTTAGGGTCTAAAAGCATTTATGAGATAGGTTTGTATGTTAATTATTTGTACAGCCTTACTGTAAAAGATTACCAAAGCAATTGCTTACAATGCAGTTACAGAAGAAAAGGTAAAAAATATTTTCTGAACTTCAAATGATTGGGAAGGAAGAAAGTGAAATGTTGTTTGGTACAGTTTTGTATTCTTTGCTGTGAGGCATTGTTTTCATAGAAGATCTCAATTTGGAATGGACCCATAAGGATCAAGTTTTGGAGCCTTAGGTTTTTCACTGAGGAATAAGGTACAAGACATTCAGTGGCATTTTTTGTCCTTTATTTGGCATGCTTTCAGAAGGTCACTGGGAGAATAGGAGAGCTGTGCTGGGTCACACATACTTCTTGTCTGTGTACACTCTTTTATACAGAAAAATGTAACTGCTGCTGCATACCATCTAGCTCCCTTATAATACTGTGAAATTACTGTGCAGGAATCCGAGGCAATACGTACAGACAACCTTTGGTATGCTGTATCCTTCATAAATGTAAGGGAAGTCATTCACTAATTCTCTTGAGAAGATGGATAAATTGTTCCATGTTTTAAGTTGCTACTTGGTATTTTCAGATGGAAAATAAAATTGAGTTCCTCCTTCTGATAGGAATAATATTAATACTAATACCTGTCTAACAGCTTTTGAAACTTAGAAGAGAGAAAAAGGCATGTTCGTTCAGTTTGGTAGTGGTGCTCTAAGATGGTGCTTCCAGGGTAGAACTTAAATTGGATTTGAAAGCGGTGAATGGAGAAAAAGATGGACAAAGAGCAGTAGTTTTCACCAGTCAAAAGAAATACTGTGTCAGTTATACCAGTCAAACGAAAGGGCATAGCGGAAGAAAATAATTTAAACATCAGATGTGGCTTGTGCTTCTGGGATCTGTCGAGCTTCCGAGGAGTTTGGAAGGGGCAAAATGAAACAGTATTGTACTCCTCTGAAAGCAACAATGGTCTGTTGAAAATGTGTCGTAGCAATCTACTGTAAGAATTCTCCTTATCGTACAAGAGGCACTATCTGCAAAATGCCACTTGACATTTATACGTTAAATGTAATGTTAAGGCTGAACAGAAATCTTACATTTATTTAGATAAACTAATACAGGATAAAGATTAGGCTGTTGTGTTTGCCCTCAGTTAAGAGCAGATGTCTTATTGCCAAGTCCTATGATAAGAAGTTGTTTTAAGAAAAGGAAAAAAAAAAGTAAATTCCTTTCGCTTTCCAGGTGTCCAAAACTGCCTGTAATGACACAGCCTGGATCCAACAGCAAATATTATTTCATTATGAGAATAATCCAAAATAACAGAAAGCAGACATGAAAAATATTTAAATAAGATACATATGAAATAAGTAAGTTATCAGAAATAAAATTATTTATTCTCACCGTCCTAGTATCATTGTAACTTATGTAGAGACCATTGGTTTTTTTCCTGTTGACAGAGAAGGCTTATGATGTGTAATAGGATTAGGGAGTAAAGAGAAAGAGGCAAGGGAAATAGTAGGTAACCAGTGAAGTTATTAAAACATGTTTTCCTACAGAAAAAGAAATAACAGCAGTGTATTGAAAGGTAAGGATGACTTCTCAGGCTCAGCAGTTGAGTTGGCACTGTTGAAGCTATCTGACTGTGCTTCCTCTGACCTCGCTGCTGCGGGAACTGCTTTATTCCATGTAGATATGTAATGAAAATTGCTGGCTGCCCACACTACAGGTGCATCAGTAGTTACACATGGCAGTTTGCAAGTGAATAGAGAATACTTTCAATGGGGAGATGTCTGGTAGAGGAAGAATGATCTACTGGAAAAGTGAAGTAGCCATCCTAACCAATAGGACGTGTTGAGCCCTTCACCCCCTCATTCTTAGCAAAAGGGGTTTTTAGTTTATCAAGCCTGCAGTTAGAAAACTGTTGGAAGTTCCTTGGGGCAGAGGGGGGTGAACCAAGCAAAAAAACCAAAACAAACCAAAACACAAAAAAACTCCAACAGTTTTTCAGAACTTGGAGTTTAAGTCAAATTTATTGTGCACTTCAGCTGCAGGAATCCTTGTGGACTATGGTAAAGGTCCAAGTAATAGCAGATATGAATCTGGTGAATATAGTGCTGTCAGAAAGAACTGTCAGTGGGCATAAAATTTTCATTTAATTTCTGGTATAAATCACAATTGTCTTATGTGAGGTTTTTTTCTAACCAAGTAAGAACAAGCTTTCTGTTCTTTAAAAGCCCATCAAAAAATAGGAGGAAGAGCTTATCTTCTCTGTACTAAAATTTTATCTTATCTATTTGTACTACTTCTTTTTGTAATCCAGTGGTGTATAGTGACTGAAAGCGATTATTACTGCTCAGGAGGAAGATCACATGTAACAATACAGAAATGAAGAATTTGATTTCTAATAAAATTTCATAGCTTGTGAATTTGTAGCTCTTTTTTTTCTTCAGAGATACCAGCTTTCTATCTTCTACCGCAGACAAACTACTTGTTGCTGATAATTCTAGCTACTAATTTTCTTTCGAGATGGGAGTTTCAGGGGTTAGATTTTAAATCTTTTCACATGTAGAGAGGTCAGTAAAGGGAGATTATTTCTCTGTAGCACTGCAGTTCTTGGAAATTAACTTTCTTAAAGGCTTGTATTCTACAAACTTGGATACTGGTTCCTGGGTGAAAAATCATAGATGCATAACTCTGCCATTACTGAATAGCTCTGCAATAGCTGGAGGACCTATGTACAGCACATGTTACATACCTTTGCAAAATTAGTTGCCATAATTAGTTTGTATCATAAATACAATAGTGTGTCTTGGTTATTGAAGAGCTGATTACACTGCATGATATAACTTGATAAACAAACTTGATATAACTTGTCATGTATGAAAGTACTGTGGGATATAAACAGTTTAAACAAGCCATACTTACATTTATTTAAATAATTTTTTTAAATACTGAGCAATGAATTAATGAAAGTAGGTTTTGATTCTTTCACAAGTGATACACTTTCCTTGGGTTTTTTGTTTCCTTTTGCTGGGTTATTTAATGACTGGTACAAAACGTTAATAGCTGGGGTTGATATTAAAATAACTAATGATTACACATGAAATTCTTCAGATAAACAAGTGTAATGTGAATGCTGTTGGGTTTTTTCTTATGCATGAAAGGTGATTTCTTTAATTTGTAGTGTACCACTGTGTGAAAGTCTTCTGGAAGATTTATTAACTCCACCCTTCCTCCTCCTGCTTTTTAGGTCAAAGATAGCAAATTGCCTACTTACAAGGACCACAATAAAAACCCTCCATTCCCTACGTTTTTTGCTGATGGAGATGAAGAATTACCAGAAGACTTGTTTGATGAGGAGATCTTCCAGTTCACGGATCCATCTGTCACATATTCATAATGTTCTTCACATCTTTGAAAAATCACAATTTTGATATTTTCACGAACTTTGCAATGCTGTATAAGAGTAAACTTATGAACTGCAGTCTGGGCAATAGACTTGAACACTTCACGTATTGCCATTTTGGTCAGATAATAAGATTTACCACTGTCTATTTCAAACCTGTATTTAAAGCAGCAGGTAAGTCTGAGGTGCAAGTTGTAAAGCACACCAAGTGCTTTTTCTACAGTGATCTTTTGCCCTCTGTCACAGGCTGTGAAGTGTTAAGCATTGCTGAAAATCTGTTGTTTAGAAGATAGTTCAATTTAATTTTCTGAAAATTAGTTTTGAATTCATTAAAAATTAATTTTCTGTGTCTCTTCTGTGCAAAGTATTCTGGTAATAAAAAAACCCTTTAAATCTGGTTTGGCATCTGAGGGGATGAATAAATCAAATGTGAGTCCAACTTTGTGAAACACAATTCAAAATATAAAACAGAAAAATACATTGCTCTGTAGCAGCATGAGCTTGTTTTGTTTCTTTTCATTGGAGCTCTTTCTCTCCTTTTGCTTTAATGTTGTCTTGAGTTTAATGTAGCAGATAGCCAACAAATTTTCTAGAGGAAAGATGCTGCCAGTCACTGCCTGTCTCTTCAGAGAGTTCTGGCAGTGTGTACAGTGCGAGTGTGTTCGGATGGAAAATGTTCAATAGCAAAGCAGCACTAAGACTGCGCTTGTCACGTTCACTGACAGCTTGTGACTTCACAGAGGATCCTTTCCATGATCTCTAGAGAAGTATCTCCGTATCTACGGTTCTCTCTGCATTGGGTTCTTATGCTGTTACAAGAGAGCTATTACAAAGAAAACAGGCCAAATGTGGAGGATTTGTCTTTATGACAATGTTTATTTTTCTTCTACTCCATGTTCAATAATAGCTGGAATCAGTAGGCTCCTTTTAGTTTTCATCTTATGTGATTTACTCTTGTTAAGTCTGATATTTTGAACGCTGTAAATCCTCTCACATACAGAAGCAAGTTCCTGTGTAACTGTCAGTACCATCTGAGCACGCACTTACAAGCCCTAGAGTAGTTCAAGAATTTGCATGTACTAAGCTACCACTAATGCTGTGGCAGTACTGTTTCAGTGCTACTAATCTTTGCAGTTTTGGTTTGTATTCATTGTTTAATTGGTAATGGTTCTGGACTATCACCAAGATGACCACACAGATGCTTTCTCCTACTTGGTTTCTCAGCCAGAGATTATGTGACTGGGATCCACTCCTGTAAATCATTATATTTTGGGTTTGCTTTCGGTGTATGCCTTGGAAAGCACCAAGAATCAATTGTGAGTTCAAAGGGACCCACAGGTTTAAAGTAAATTAAAATTAACTCTGTATCAAATAAGATTTAAACTTGAAAGGAAAATCAACAACCTACTTCAATTCCAGTTTCTTTGGTAAGGGAACTCCCTTTTTGGCATAAACAGTGGAATTCCACTTATCTGGTCATGTTACTCTTTAGCTTAATTGTCCAGGGAATGATCGCAGTCATTCAGGGAATTCTGAATTCTTAAGGTTTCCTTCCATTTGTTTAGCTGTAAAATTTCTGTCAAAGCTTATATACTAACAGAGTAGTCTCTACAGTTGTGCTTTTGAAATGCATGCTGGATGTGAGCCATATGATCTTTTCAAGATGGTGCTTTTTCAGCTAGCTGTTCGTCTCATTTTTATTGAGATCTACAGGTGAAACTGTTTCTGTCTTTATTTATGATGAGAGTTTGGACTTGTAAGACAAGAGCTTTCATAGCTCAAGTAAAGACAGGCGTGCTCAATGTAAGGATTTTCGGTAGAGCAGATGCAGGGTGAGATGGGTAAGATCTGTTGATGTGAGCTCAGAGTAGTGCAACCTAGATTGGAACATAAATCTCTATTAGACCTGTTCTTCCATCAGGTGTTGGAGGGCTTACGATGTTTCGTATTTAATTTTACATGCACTCCCCATTCTTTGTCTTCTACTCCTCTGACTGATGAAGGCACTTTGTGCGGGAGAAGGGGAGGCTGAATTTATTTCAAGGAGCAAAATTGGAAGTGTAATGACACCACATGCTTTAAGGCCACCTACAAGTTTGTTCTTAGAAAAGGCTACAGGTGCTCACTGAAACATTTTTAGATTTTGTCAAAGGTGCTGGAGCTGAGTGTTTATTCTTTACTTGTTGAGGGCAACATGGCTGAAGGTTGTTGTGACTTGTCAAGTAGGTGTGCTTTTGAGAAGCAAATAAATGCAGACAAAACTGGGTAAATATCAAGTCCTCTTGTCTTGGATGGGCAGTTTCTCATGCGAAGGGATGTGTTCATGTTTCTAAAAAAGTAAACCGAGGGCTCTGTTGCAAGGAGATATCAGTGCATTTTGTTGGTGTTCCTGAGAACTGAAAGTTGGGAGCCATCAGGGAACATTTACCACGCAGCAAGAGCAGCAACAAAAAGAAGTTTTTATTCAATGTTACCTGTAGATTAGTAAAGAAGAAGGAGCTGAACATGTTCAGGCTGGTTAAGGGCCTGTGCTTTCCCTAACATACTGTATTGCTTTTCAGTGCTTAAAAATCATAAGGGGGTCCAGCAAAATGTATGAGTGTTTTTAAAACCATGAGTGTGAGTAGGTTTATTGTGTCCTATACTATATTACCATCTTAGCAGGAAACCTGTCATGCAGCTCTTATTTTCTTGTGTTTTCTGGCAAAACACTGACATGCACCAGTGCCTGTGCACCCTGGGAATTTGGCTGTGCCTGTAACGATGAGGTAAATGCCAATACCAAGCAGTTCCCTCATATTTATTCTGTTTGTGAATATAACGGCTGTGGGCGAGGCGCTGAGGTTTGCATGGCCAGGAGCACGTTACCTCCTCCTTGGGCTGTTCTGTTTGGGCTAGTGGGGTGTTTTTAACTAACACGCTGCTTTGGAGGAGGATGTGGCTGTATCCGTGGCTTCATGGCATGACTGCTTTGAAAAATAACTGCTCTTGATTAATAACCCCTCTCTGTGGTTCTAATAATACATGAATAAACAGTGGCAAGCTTACAATGTAAGTTGAAAGTAAAAAGACAGCAGGAAGAGGAAATCAAAACACTCATCTAGCACTTGACAACATAATTGCAGTCATTGATGATAAACAAGGAGAGTTTATTTCTCTTGAATCTATACTTTTAAATATCATTGCTCTGTCATTATGTGAGACTGATAAACATTTTCCTTTGCTGTTTTCACTTGATGTGGAAAAATGTGGTTTGTTCTGTTAGCATTTAATAAATATTACTCTAGCAAGCTGAAGGGATGACAGGAGTTTCTATGTAGAATTTCACCTTCCTCCACCCTCTGTGTGGATTTTGAAGCCTGGTATTGAAATGGGGGGCTTGTAGTTTAGGGCTAGGGTCTAGATAAAACCTAGCAATCACCTAACCAGGGAATTTAATAGCTTATAGAAATCAATGGGAAACTGAGGTTAGCAGGCATGTAACTAACAGTAGGGTATTGAATATGGGAAATGAAGTATAGAGAAATAGAAACTGAAGCGGCCTAAAAACCAGATAAAACCAACTCTGTGACTTGGAGAAGTTCCAGGAGCATGTGCTAAAAGAAGGTTATGGGAGTTCAGCATGATGAAGACTGCTTACTTCATCCCGATACCCCAGCCCACGACCACCAGCAGGCCCTGCACAGGCGTGACTGGGAGGAGAATAAGGTGGAGCACAAGCAAAGGACTTCTTGGAAAAGGACCACCTTTTCGGGGAAAGGTTATGAATATGTATAGGCGCTTAATGAATAGGTAATATGTTGCTGTATAAAATCAAGGGAAATCGCTGTTTTAGGTGCGCACATCTGTGGAGGAGTGATCCCCCGTGCGCTCGCACGTGGAATAAACATACCTACTTTACAGCCTTACAGGTTGTGAAGTCATCTTTCCGCAAGTCAGTGTGACCAGAGCTTTTCCTGAAATTACTGTTTCCTTGCTGAATTCTGAAAATTCTGGAGGACTGAAAGAAGACAGATTACAATGTAAACCATGAGGGAGACTGATCTGTGTAACCCAGCAGCCTCCGCAATGCCTGGCAGCGAAGAGTCTGACACCCTCACCCTGCAGCCTTTGCACTGGCAGCCCAGTGCAAGTCCTGTACCTGTGAGCTGCAGCACACAGGGCTCCTACGTGATGCCAAGGTAATTGCTATTTCAAATAAATTGCTGGCCCAGTCCTGGGGTGCCTCATGAAACAGAGGGGTGTTTCCTGTCCTAACAACCACAGTGAGAACAGCAGCAGGGATCATGCATTTTATGAGTGCTATGTCTATCACTTTGCTTGGATCCTTCACCTGATTTATGTAATTCCCACATCTCCTTGAAATTTAATGTGGGAGTGAGTTGGTTTCATAATTGTAAGCATTACTTGTACACGGTGTCTTCTAATAATTAGCTCCTGTGCCCTTCAGTGCACCAATAGTGCTTATTAATTGCATTTAATGAGTATCTCTCACCTGCAGCGAATTGCCCTGCACTGTTACATGCCTTAGTGTGTAACAGCATAGTATGATTTATTTATATAACACACTTGATGGCACTTAACAGCTGTAAAAACATGCAAAAATGCTGACTTCGGTCTTAGGTATTTATTGGTTTTGGAGAAACTGTGTTTACATGTAGCCTCAAGGTTATCACACCAGAAAGAGAATTAATTTCAACTGGTGCAGCTCTGCTGTGTTTGAAGTGTGGTAGCAAAACAGCCAAAAAGCTGGCAGGTGTTTCTGGGGGCTATATGGTAGTGTGTGTTGCAGCAAGGTGTGTCAGGTAGTAAAGCGGTACATTAGGACTGATGGTCTCCAAATCAATGCAGCCTGCTGACCTGCCCCATCACATACCCATGAAGATGTGTGATGTGAACTGAAGACTGTCGCACCAGTTCAGTCGCCAGTCGTTCTGTCAGCACACTCTTCCTTGCATCTCTCTCCTCATGTTACAGAAGTGTAAATGTGTCACTGAAGTGGGCATCACAAGAAGGATTTCCAGCAGCATCAATGTCTGTGATAATGTCAGGACTAATAACGTACTCATTCTCTCAAATGTTTGTCCCATTTTTCTCATTCCAGTAGGATATCACCTGTGGGCTCCCACCTACGTGTACAGCTGATAAGCCGTACACTCATTTGAATATTGAAGACCTGAGTTATGTTCTTGCTTTCTGATCTAAGTGGGCAACCAGTAATTTCACAGCATTAAGAGCCTCTACCTAGCTACTGCCCATCAATAGCTGAAAAATCACTGCTTGTGAATAATTTGAGTTTTGGGTTGTCATTC